GTGAAAGTTGTTCATTACGACTGTTCCTGCCGGTTTATTAATAAATTCACATTTGCATCATTTGTTGTAGAATTGTGCTGCTCAGGGTGGCAGCACATTGGAGGAGCTCTGTTACTTTCATTGAGATCTTCTTTTCTTTTTGGGTGTAAATTCCTGCCTTTTTGGGAAAAAGTTTATTTTTTGGACGTCCGTTAGTTTTTGTTTTGGGTGCTGGATTGATTTTTGCCAATACTTTTTTAACCTAATTTCCCTCTTGGATCAATAAAGTATTTTTGAATTGAATTATTTGGGTTACTACTTGAAATCAGCTCCAGCATAAACATATCAAAGCCATACATAGTTAAATATCATATTGTTAATATTATTAATAAAAAAAACTCCATGCTGCCACACAGTATTACCATTAACTGCCCTAACTTGTGGTGACACATCTTGTTTTGGTTCTGAATATGTCAAAATAAAATAATTCCCTGTTTCTGGATTGTTTTACAAAATCTCTTAGTACTTGAGGTTTTGTTTTGTTTTAAAGACAGATTTCTGTTACTTTATTTTATTTATATGTACAGAGCAGTTGTTTTTCCTTTCTCTCCCCTCTTGGCATTTTGTTAAACACAGTAAACATCATACATTAACATCATGCATGCAACTCATCAGCTAGTCATTTTTGTTGAAGAGTTAATATTTATGTACCTTGTTTTATAATTTATCCACATGTTTATATGGCAATAAACTGTTTTCTAAAAAGCTAGTCCATCTTATTTTATTCATATAAAATTAGGATTTGCAACTAGTTCAAAGAATCTGTTATGAAAGCCTTAGCTGTAACTACTAACAGTAGTGCTAATTCTAACTGTTTTTAGATTCATACCACCTTTCTGTTACATTTGTTATAGTTTTTGTGTTCAAATACAACACAGATATCTGATTGCATATTTCTGATTTCTCTCTAATCAAACCTGGAAGAAAAAAACTTCATTTTTTTTAAAAGAAAACCATTTATTAATAGTTTCACGCATAATTTCTGTGTACGTAACAACAGATTGCTTCAATTAGGAGTTCAATTAGTTTCTTTAAAACTGAACTTAACTTAAAATTTAACTTATCATTAAAAAACACTGTTTTAGCCATTAAATACATTTAGTTGTGTATTGGAGTGTCTAGGAGTGCAAAAAAGTTGAATTAGGTCTCTCCTGGTGTTGTGTAGATATATTTATATTCTGTTTGGGCCCCATTTTTTAACCTGTTCATGTTTCTATATTTTCTACAATGTTTATCAAATTATTTGTTATGGAACTGCCAAATAAGGTCTGGACTTACCAGCTATAATTTGGTGGTCTTCATTATCCTCTGGCTCCAGGTCAGACTCTGGTTCTGGGTCAGACTCTGGCTCCAACATGTAAGACTGGATGGACAAGTCTTCCCTTGTTCACATCTTTTAATTAATTTGTAAATAAAACATTCCTGCTCCACTATATAGTCATTAACACTTATCAAACTAGAGCAAACAGGTCTGGAAGCTGGAGGGAGGTGGGGTCTGAAGCGCTTCGTTTGGATTTAAAGAGACAGCCTCAAAACGAGTTAATCTGAGACTCACCTCAGAAAGGGGTGAAAGAGGGGCTTGTGGAGTTACAATAAGGAGGAATTTAGACCAAAGCATTGCAGTTCCACTTAGACCCCATTAGATAGACTCCAACTGAATGATTTAAATGTGATAATGTGTGCGTCTCCCTCCATTTGTCTGTTACATTTCTCATTTAGTACAGATATTAATGAAACTCATAAACGTATTCACTGGGAGAATAGAGTCAACTGATTGATTTTTAAAATCACCATCAAGATGTCCACTACAGCCAACTGACATTAGCCAAAATTTACAGATATTGATCTGAATTTGTTGTGGTTATTTACAAGTTTTGACCAAAAAGCTTTAACTGTTTTTTCCATCTCATCATGAGATGATCTTAGTTTTATTCCAGCTTGAAATATGAAAATAATATACATTCCTTTAGGAATACTAAGGCTTTGATTACAACTGTAATCAATTCTCTGCAGTCTTTTGCAAAAGTAAAAAGTTGTGTGGTCGTTGCACATAAAGGTTTGTAATGAAGAGATTCGTACAGCTGAGGAAAGTAGCTGAGGTGGATTCATGTGGTGCTTTAAGTGGAAAGGATGTACATTTAGCGAGCAGCTTTCTGCTCACACATACCAGACAAAAACAGGAAAATTCTACTTTCACCCCCTAAATCTTTGAGGGTTTATGCTCTATTTCTTCAGGTTTTCACTTCTTACAAAAGAAAAAGATTGTCACGTCTTTGACGTCTGCCTAAATTAGACCAATTTTTATTTTCTTTGCTTCCTGGTAAGGGGCTGTAATGACTGCATGTCTGCCTCAGACTACAGTATGTTTGACAGACACAGCAGGGTTTCCACACGCACCGTTAGAAAGAAAACGGTTCGCTATCCGGCACGACTACCGTCAGTGAGCCATCACTATGAACAAAAAGCTATTGTGTTGCTTTTGAAAACAGAAAAGTGCAGTAACTTGTTTTTTTAACAGTATTCACTTGTCGCTAATGTTTTTTTTTTTTTGTCCAGTCTCCCGAATAGCAATTCATAAATAAGAATCTATTATTCTCCAAATGTGTTAGGCCTTACACACGCTGAAATACGTCATGAACAAATTGGACAAATTTTAATGAAATTCCCAGAAAGTAGTTAGTGGATATACATCTGCACCCGATTCACATTCAGATTTAACCTCACTGAAGACGGCAGCCACGGATAATCAACCTAAGCAAACACAGAAACTGTCTGTAACTCGGTCAGTTTTACAGAAATCAACCTACAGTTTGCTGTGGTGGCAGCTGAGCTTCAACCAAGAAAAACATTTAGAGCACAAAACAGTCTTTGTTTACAACTTTTTAATTAAATGTTGGCGTCAGTTATACTCAAGTGTAATGGTCACCAAGGGGTGGAATAAACTGTTCCACCTGTCGTTGACCTTGATCTCAGAAGGCCTCCTTCAGAGAGACAGCAGTCTGTTCAAGTTAAAGTCTTAACAGGTTTTCTTAAACAGTAAAGAGACATTGTCTTCTTATTAGTCAGAAAATAAACAGAATAATCTTCCTTTATTCATAATTTTATCACGGTTTAAAAAAGAAAACACAAAAAGAATGTTATTACAATGTTATATTGTGCTTTGATGTAAATCGCTTGAACTTTAACAGTGAAACCACAGTAATGATCATAGATTTTTAAATTTAAACATTTTACTTAACTAAACTTTGCATTATGGTTAAGCTTTATTATGAAACATTTTATAATTATTTTATCTGAATCATTATAATTAATGTTCTATATGAAATAATTCATTTTTAAGTTTTCAGTAAATCATTCTTTTTGGTCTTTAAAGAGCTCTCAGCAGAGAGCAGGTCAGAACGAGCTGTACGACTGTGCAGACGTCAACAGTTTTAAGACAAACAACATTTTTTGTCCATTCACTTTGCACGGGAAGAATATTTTACCGAAAATAAAATGATCCTTGCTAAAATACTTTCCTTATAACCTTGTTATAAGAAGTGTAGGTGTGAACCCTACACTTCACAAGAAAATGCTTGGGACCTTTGTTTAAAACTGAAACACACAAAGTGGGAGATTTGCGATCCTTCATGAAATGCTACTTTAATTTGAACTTGACTGTCATTACTGTTTTAACCAAAACTGTGCCTCAAATTTGGCTGCTAATTATTTGATTTTCTTCTTAATTTATTATTATTAAATCTATTAACCTGGAGTTGGCTTAAGATGACAATTCACTGTACTCTGATTAGCTTTTAGCTTGTCAGTTTGGTCAGAATGTCTCCTGTTTGGACAAATAAAGAGCTATGTACCACAGGTAAGATATTGTTTATACCTTTCCACTGTACCACAAAAGATCTGAACTGTCACTAAATCTCATTTTAAATTAAATAAAAGTCACTTGGTATGTTCAGAAATTGTCCTTAGGGCCTTTTTTTCTTGAAATCGCTAAATGAGACGGATATAAAAGACAGTCAGGGGTGTGTGGACAGTGTCCATTCTCTGTGAGACGAGTGTTAATGAGGAGGCCCCAAGTTGTGACAAAAAGCTGATGAATGGTGTTTAGATTAATTAATTCCTCAGTGCTCCCTGCTGCTCAGGCTCAGTTTAGCCTTTGTCTCGTCTCTGTGGTCTTGTCTCGCTGTGTGAAAAGACTCTCGACTCATCAGACCAAGCAGATCGAAGCGCACCAAAGTGAGTGTGTTAACATGTAAATAACTTCAAAACACGTTTGTCTGTTGGCTTGCTTTGTTGCGGTCTACATGAGTGTGTGTGTGTGTGATGTTTTGAGTGTGTTTGTGGACACGGAGGGTGGCTGAATATTGATGAGAGGCCCTTCCACACCCGTTTCCCAGGACTTCTGGGTGACAGAGCGGCAGGAAAAAGAACAGCACCGGTGCTCGTGTCCAAATATAAAACGCTCCTTTTTTATATTAAAAAAAGCTGATCCAAGTTTTAAAAACTGGCCTCTAAATGTCCAGAAGTTAAATTAAACTGCATTGTTTCTGAGCCTTACAGTTAATTCTGCCCATAAATCATTTTAATGAGCCTTTTTCCAAGCAGTCTGGTTGGATTTTAACTGAATGCTTCCATAACGTCTCAGAGTCCAACACAGCAGATTTTTCCTTCCCTATAAAAAAAGAGACTAAATGAGGGGAAAAAAACACTTAAAGCCCTTTTATTTAACCAAAGCCTGCGCATGAACTCCTGTGGTCGTACACCATCGCAGCAACCCCTCCCTGTTAAAAAAAAAAAAAAAAACAACCAATCACAGACGGCCAGACTTCCATTTGAAGCTTCAGTAGTACGATAGTGTTGCCCAGCAACCAGAGTCTGAGGGTCCTGCATGGACGACTGTAGCTGGAACGAGGAGACGGGAGGACAGAGGAGGGCTGGGGATGACGAGGTGAGGGAGGGAGAGAGAGAGAGAGCGACGTGCTGAGAGCGGGAAAAGGAAAAGTTCTCGTAGCAGGAGAGACGGAGCAGGAGGTGTGGAAGGAGCTGTCACACGTTCAACCTGTGCCTCCTGGAAAAGGTGCAGAGCTCCGGTTGTAGCCGTCATGCTTCTCACAGGATCTTGACTGTGTGTGAGTGTGAGGACGAGCAGCGCCGAGGACAAACCGGCTGACCTGGATAAGAGTTAAAACGGAGCCAGGACCGGCGGGTCCTGCAGGACTCCTGATGGGGTTTTCTGGGTTGAGTGACGGCCGAGACGCGTCCAGGAGTTCTGTGGTGGTTCTGGGCGGGTTAAAACCCACTCAGGCTGAAGTCCAGCAGCGGCGGTGAGAAGCTGGAGGACAGAGGAGGACGACATCCACGTCTGGGATTTACTGTCTGGAAAAATGTAAAATATGTTTGGACGGCGCCACAGTTGGTCCTGTTGATGGTTTGATGCGAGGATGTGGAAGTTTAAAGCCTTTTGTCTGGACTATTGGCACGTGCTGTGCTTGCACCCCCACAACAACTTTTACAAAAGGTATGTTTATGCTGTTGAGCTTTAGTTTTTACACCCTCAGTGTTGCCTCCTCCTACTCTCAGTATATTAATACATTTTAAACAATCACTCCTACAAACGTGGCTGACAGACCTTCTGTTGTGTTTTACTGGAAGAAATAAACCTGCTTCGTTTGCCTTTTTTATTCTAAGAGTCATTTAAATAACTTTTTGTCTTCTGTGCAGCGTCGGCTCTGCTTGTTCTGAGTTGAGTGGCCTGGATTTATTTTTATCTGTCCCTCTGGGACCTCTTCATGTTCCCCCTCTCCCTCTCTGGCTAATCAATGCCTGTTTTTTGATGTTAACTTTAAAGCTCACTTTAAATTGCAATCAATAATAGGAACGATTCTGTCAGTTCCTTCTTGGCTGTCACAGACGTTTTAACCTGTGAATTTCAGCAGCTAAAAAATAAAAACGTGCAAAAAACACATCTCCAGGATCACCTTTCCCCTACTTTTCAAAATAAAAGCATGTAAAACCTAACATAAAACCTTGCAGGTTTGATGGAATGTGCACCGTTTCGTCTTATCTTTGGAAATCACTCTTCTCGTCTGCTGGCTCTGTTAAAAAAAATAGAAAAGATAAATGTGTTGCTCGGTGTGTTTCCCATCTGCTCCAAAATCAGTTTGAGTCATTTTGCTCAAAGCCATCATCCCCAGTTATCTGTTCAATGTATAAAACACAGACGTTTGTGCATTTCTCTGGATGACAGACGTCTGTAATGTTTGGGTGAATTGATGCTCCATATGTCCAGCTCATGTCATGTTCAGCCTCAGAGAGGTGCAGTTACCGTTTTAAAGACCATATTTTAACGTTGCAGCAGAGTATTCTTGTAACGTCTGCTGAAATGTTTCCTTACATCGTCGCCGATATCTAAAGGGCTTCATTTGCATACGTTTCTTTCACATTCTCCAGATGTTTATCCCAAACAGAGGAAAGCTGCGATGTATAAAAAAACCCCAACCAACCACCAAAATCAGATGCTGCCATCTGTATGCTAATGTGTTTTTACATACTGCACACAAACACTGTTTTATTAGGCGCTAGTGTTCTGAAACAGGGTTTGTTTTCATGATGTATTAATAATGCATCATCTTTAGCTTCACCTTCAGGGAATCCCTCATCTGTAGGCGCTGCCTTGTATTATGCTTGTTTGGGAAAAAAGAAAAAAAACTTACTAAAATTGTGTTGTTTTTTTTCTTGTTTCTTGAAGTGTTACAGTATTTTGAAGTTGTGAACAGCTCATCTGTTATAAATATCTCTGAACAAACTCAGGTTGAAGGAGTAGTTTATTTCTGGCCAGACTAAAAAGCTAACATCTAGTCTGAGCAGGGTCAAGAATGAAGCAGATTGCTTTAGTCATTCTGTGTAAATGTATATATTGGCTGCTCCAGTGCAAACTCCATCCAACTTGAACATTAATTTTGGACAATGTCTGACCTTCGGCTCTTTCAAATAAAACCGGAGCGTGTGGACAGACAGGAGGATGTAGAAATGATTCAACATGAAACTGAAAATGATGGAGGACAACAGTGCTGCTTCATGGAAGCAGTACTTCAGCTTTATATATGATTAGCTCCTGTGGCTTTAGCTCCTAAACCAGGGGTGTCCAAACATTTTGTCACATGGGCCAAAATCATAAAGTCAGAAGGACCTGAGGGCCAAAAATATTTTCCCTTTATCTGCTCAACATTAAACTAAGCATTGAATACTTAAATTAAACAAATAAAGTAGTCAGATTTATTGCTGGAAGTGGATGTTTAAATTAATCTACAGTAGATCTAGAAGTTTAAAAGTGTTTTGCAGGTTTCCCTTATTGAAAGAAATTTAGCAAATTTCTAGGTTTTAATTGGGGAAAAGGGAACCCAGTTTAGTTAATCCTTAATCTAACAATTTAGATTTTAAATCTAAACTCAGGATTTAGGTCACTCTTTCATTGAAAATGCTTGCTATATTTAGACAAATTTAAAGAGTTAATTAAAAGCGAATTGGAGGGCAGCAAAATCAGCTTTTGAGTAGAAGTCACCAGATAGACGTGGAAAAAGCTGAGAGCCTGGTTATTTAAAGATAAGTAATTGGCATTGTTACCAATATTCTTTATTGGAAGAAGATTTTACTTTGTCTGTGATAATTTTGCCATAATTAAACATAGAAAGTCTCCATCTACACCTCTGCCGGGGGGACAAATTTGTAAACAAATTAGTATAATTCTTCAGGGGCCACACTTTGGACACCCCTGTCCTAAGCTAAACTTAGTGTTGGCTCCCATGCTTATCGCTCCCACTGCCTTTGTGGGGTCCATATGACCCCACTCACGTTCGGTGAGGCGGTGGGATCCTCCAGACCCCCACCCGATTAAGCAAAGGTGTGTGTGTGTGTGTGTGTGTGT